TTCGAAGATCTTGAAGATGTATGAAGACCTCTTTGAAGAAAATGTACATGGGGGCAATGAAGAATGAAGTCTTCCCAAGCCATGAAGCATGGGGGCAATTCACATTAAGAGCTCCATCACATATTCAAATGCTCCTTGATATGAGCTTAAACTATCTATATGGCTCCTTGACACGAGCATAAAATGTCTACATATCAAGATCTCCTTGATACGAGAATAAAAGGTCTATATATCAAACTTGAAGGCTCCTTGATATGAGCTTAAACTATCTACATATTCAAATGCTCCTTGATACGAGCCTAAACTATCTACACATTCAAATGCTCCTTGATACGAGCTTAAACTATCTACATATTCAAATGCTCCTTGATATGAGCCTAAACTATCTACATATTCAAATGCTCCTTGATATGAGCTTAAACTATCTACATATGCTCCTTGATATGAGCTTAAACTATCTACATATTCTAATGCTCCCTAATACGAGCTTAAACTCTCTACATATTCTAATGCTCCTTGATATGAGCCTAAACTATCTACATATTCAAATGCTCCTTGATATGAGCTTAAACTATCTACATATGCTCCTTGATATGAGCCTAAACTATCTATATGGCTCCTTGACACGAGCATAAAATGTCTTCATATCAAGATCTCCTTGACACGAGAATAAAATGTCTACATATCAACCTTAAAGGCTCCTTGACACGAGCATAAAATGTCTACATATCAAGATCTCCTTGACACGAGAATAAACGGTCTACATGTAAAATTTGAAGGCTCCTTGACACGAGCATAAAATGTCTACAAATTTGAAGGCCCTTTGATACGAGCATAAAATGTCTATAAAATTGAAGACTCCTTGATACGAGTATAAACTATCTGTCAAATCAAATCAAGACTCCTTGATACGAGTTTAAACTATCTACAAATTCAAGTTGAAAACTCCTAGACAAGAGTTTAAACTATCTACATGTCCAAACCAAATTCAAAATTTTGAAACCCATTCACTACGAAGTCATTTTGTCCGTGAACAAGTCTCAAAGGGGCATTTGTAGACATCGAAATTTTAATATTTTATTAATTAATGTCTTTATTTATTTTGGGACATAAATCCAAGATAAATAAGATATTAATTAATAAAGTAATTGTTTCTTGCCCACCAAGTCAAATCTTAGAATAAAGAAAGAGATCTTAGGATAAGGAAAGAGATTATGTCAAATCATGAAGGACCAATCAAATTGAAGTCTTCTTTTCCAAGACTCTCTCTCCTACACCTATTCAATGCCACAAATCACACCTCAAAACACATCTCAAAAATCAAAGTCTCAAATTCAAGCGCTCTCAAGAATCCTCTTGAAGATTTGAAGAAGTTCTTGAAGAACCGTCCGAGGTACGTTCAATGAAGAAGAAGGCCAAGAAGAAGAAAAAGAGGCGGCGACTCTTCCTCAAGAAGTAAAGAGACGACTTTCACGCTTCTCATGTCAATCCAAGAATATCAACGACGTTTAAGCGACATTTAAGCCCCATTCGTTGAGAACTTCAACCAACATAGCGTTTGATTCGAAAAAAAAAAACTACCAAGCCCTCGAGTCAACGTTATTCAAGTCAAAGTCTCTCTTTCCAGAAGATCAAAGAAACAAGTTCTCCAAGAAGTTGTCTTTAATCAAGTCAAGGTCTAACATTTAATACGGGAATAAGTCATTCGACCCCCAAATTAATTTTAGAGAAATTCAAGACCAAGCCCGAAGGAGATTCATTCGTCAAATCCATCTTTGAAGGTCTCAATCCCAAATTCATGAAGAGAAGAATCAAAGGAGATAAATAGAGATTGTACCCGCAATATCATTTGATCGAAATATAATCAAGTTGTACAAAAGTTTTATGTTTTCCATAAAATTTGTTGTTACGTATGCTCACCTACCCACGGTGGGCACATGTTAATATGCCCATCGTTTATGTGGCATGCACACATTAGTGATGTTAATATGTTAAAAAAAATACACCACCAATATATACATGCCACATAATCGGTGTACATATTAACATGTGTCCACCGTGAGTAGGTGAACATTACTTCTCATATTATTACTAAGAGCATCCACAATGCTTTGAGTCTCTTAGAAAAAAATCACATGCCATGTAGGAAATAGACCTAGTCTATAAAAAATGTTTTACATGCAATTAAAAATGAACCTAGTCTAACTTATGTGACACTAGAGAAAAGAGACCAAGTCCACACTTGAGTCTATTTTGGACCCAAGTGCAAACCCGCCTAATTCACAATTGTCTTTTTTTTAATAGGTAAAACATATTTTTTTTTGTAAGCATTTATTATTACTATATTTTTATTGGTTGTTGTTTAGAGCTTGATTGTTTATGAAATAATTTGTTCAAATTGAGTTATTTTAGTTAACTATAGTTAATTTTAAAAAAAGTGGTATGGTTAGATGTAGTGGAATTTTAAGAATGTATTAAAATAACATTTAAAATAAAATAATTAAATTGATTTGATGTAAAAGTAAGAGATTAATGATTGGAAATGATTGGTAGTTAAAAATATGTGAGTGGATGAATAGTGAATTAAAGTTGATGTGATGTGTAAGAATGATTGATTTGTATTATTTAATTATATGAATAATATTAAAAATAGTGGAGTTGAGTTAAAGTTGAGTTAGATTTTGAGTTAGAAATAAAAGTGAGTAAATTATTTTATAAACAATCACCCCCTTAGTATTCTAGACCTGGTACCTTTTTTTTTGAATTGGATAAATTTTGAATATTTAAACTTAAGTTATCCATGTTATTATCGACTTTAAGTTTATTTATTTGCTACATATGTAAAAAGAGACCCAAAACTAGGGGTGAAAGCGGGGTGGATAATTTCCGCATCCAATCCGATCCGAATCCGCGTTACGAGGATATGGATTAAGGTTTTAGATATCCATGAGGATATGGATAATCCGCATC